CGGTGTCACAGCGGATTTGGACCCCCCAGTAGATTTGGACCCCCCGGTCCAAATCTCCTAGTAGATATGGACCCCCCGGTCCAAATCTCCTAGCAGATATGGACCCCCTTTAGCGGATATGGACCCCCTTTTTTAAACAGTTTTCTACACTAAGAACAACCCCAATAACGGTGAATATGTTAAATTCAATTAGTTTTCCGATACCCGTAGCTACTTATCAACCACACATAGTCATTTATTGTGAATAGAAAACTTTTTATTGCCAGTGAGATCCAAATTCAAAAATCTTAAACTACAAGTAAACTAGAAAGGTCCAAATGCATGGAAAGTGTGTATACAACTATAAAAGGATAAATAAACACACTAAAAACTCATGTATATACGCAATATGACGTTTATATGAGCAAAATAGCTAAAAAGGCTTCCATTTAGATGAGTCACCATCACTTATTGTTTAAAAATTTTCATGGAATCGCGTTGCTCTAATATTCTATTTCTATAGCTTTTCTTAAAACCATTAGTGGATAGTCGCAGGCTTCCATTCAGATGAGTCGCCATCACTTATTGTTTAAAAACATTCATGAAAATCGTGTTTCGTGTCGATCCAAATATTTTAAATGCTGTATGCAATTTCTACGATTGTATTCTATTTTTCTATTTTACGTTTTGTGGCCTTTATCACAAATATTTAAAGTGACTAAATACTTCAGATTGATCGCTATTATGAATTTGGTTTATATTATTGTGTTCACATTATACATATATTTAGCTTTTGAAGGGGGTCCAAATCCGCCAACGGGGGTCCATATTTACTACCCGGGGGTCCAAATTTACTAGTGGATATGGACCGGGGGTCCAAATCTACGGGGGTCCAAATCAACTGGGACAACGGCATTCAATAACAACACGAGAGGGCACTGTGAGTAACGATTTGCTTGGTTTCTTGACTTCACTATTGGTAAAAATGTAAGAATGTTCTTGTAAATTCAAAGCAAAGAAAATAAACAAAAATTAGCAAGTATTTCGAACTTAATAATTCGCAAAATTTATGTTTTTAACTGTTAAACAAAATATCTCCACTGGAATCATGTAATTTGATACTTTCCCCACACCCCCTCGGGCGCTAAATTTTGGACGAGGCACGTGACCAGGCCATACCAGGGTATTTCCTAAATACCCTGAGAACGAGATTGGCAGTAAACCTCACCCCATTCACCGGAGCCCCGGTGGCGACTGGCTTGTTTTAAAAGTTGTGAATGATGAAGTATGATAACTCTCGTAAATGCTTGCAGGTACATCAGAGAAGAACGGTTAGAGATTCAGGTGTGGTTGACTGCCAGACATCATGATGATAGAACTACTTTACCTCACAAGAGAGATAAACTGCTGGGCTCAACTTTTATTGCGTTATTTCCCTTGTTAGATGGAAGTAAAAACTTCTCTCAAATCAGGTACACGATATTAACACAAATACATATTATATGCTTTAGACCTGCTTCCATCAAATCATTATGGTAATCGATTAATCATCAATAATCGATTAAAATTTACAAAGCCTTGTAGAAAAGGTCTAACCTGCCAGCCTGGAGTTCAGAAATGTTTCAACTCGCCCAGGAAACTGAATGAGCCGTGTTCGTTGGGTTTCCCATGTGGTTCGGGCCTGAGTTGTGCGCCCGGTTTTCAGGTGTGTTATAACCACCCGCGACTTGCAGGTCAAAAATTAGGGGGCTTCGGTGGCCAAGTGGTTAGCGCACTTGCCTTTCACCTCTGAGGCTGCAGGTTCGGGTCTCACTAAGTACCTTCTCAGTGCGACTCGAACCCAGTCCCCATGTGGAAAGAGTAAAAGTCAACGCTCTGCCGAAAGCCGTGGGTTTTCCCCGGGTACTCCGGTTTCCTCCCACAGGGAAAGTTGACAGGGTGGGTTAGGTAAAAAGGGCCCACAGTAATTGGCATATGCTGTTGTGGTGACCCTGCCCTAGTTGGCAAAGCTAAATAAATAAATAAATAAAATCGATTAATTGTAAGGAATAAATCTAGGCACGTCCACGACAGTCGTTTCCAAGAAGGGGGAATGTTTTAAAGCTTTTACTTGTCAGCCAATGGGAGCGCCAGTGGTAGCAGAAAATAAAAAAACAAGTCGCGTTTGTCATTTGATCATATCGATAATACCATCTCTTCATACTTTTTTCAATCGGGAAATAAAATTATCTAAGTTCGGCCGTTTTGTTGATTCAATTATCGTTAAGAATAATTGATTGCAAAAAAACACAAAAAATAACCGATTAATCGATCAATATAGGGAGCAGCTGTGTATAGGTTGTCATATGAAAACACTACTTCTACGCTCTATCAACTATGACAATTTGAGCTTAGTAAAATTTGAATTTTCTCGTATTCAAAATACTTTGCAGATTTATAGAAATGATAGAGCAATGGAAACATTGCATTGAAACTTAGTCTTATACCCATAACTCACACTGCCCCCATATCATACATCTTTTAATTTCAAACTGGTTTTCATGGATAATTTTCCCACGTGAGACTTGTTTTTAATCTCTACATTAATCTTCTTACTTCCCCTGCCAATATAAATATGACGTCATATCCTATGACTTTATGCTCCTATACTATAGTGGCCTGTATCCATTGTTTCGAAGCGGTGCTGTGGATTTGTATGGTGCTGGCTTACATGTTCAATTGGTACTTCAAAAACCATCAAACACCAACCAGGTAAGGCTGACACCCTGTTAAAGGTTTATCTGTGTATATCAAATATTTGACAACATTTTCGAAGCCCTGGTTTTGTTGAGGTAAAGATTTGACTTACCGCTACCATTACCGTTGCCATCAATCAGATGCGTTTAATCTACCTGATTGGCCAATCAGATGCGTTTAATCTACCTGATTGGCCAATCAGATGCGTTTAATGTACCTGATTGGCCAATCAGATGCGTTTAATCTACCCGATTAACCAATCAGTTGCGTTTAATCTACCTGATTGGCCAATCAGATGCGTACTGAGCCAGTGGAAGGTCGCACTAGTCAAATCTTAACCTCTATCATGAAATAAAGGTTGACGTGTTTTTAATGCATGCAAAAGAAGAAGCTTTTTTCTTTGCCATCTACTGAAACTTTGCGTGATTGTAGACGTTGAGAGGCGAGGTAGATGAAGACATTGCATCAACAGAAGCCAGTGAAAGTGCACAGCATGAGAAAGATAGTATCACGATAGTCAGTAGTGATGAAAGCAAGAACGATGTTGAAAAATATAGAGCACAAGAAATATCCTCACCTTCCGAAGATGATAATGATGTAATCACGGCGCATGTGGTGATAGAACAAGCTTTACATCTTCGTCTTGTCAAGTCGCATCAAAATATGAGGTTTGTGATTTTGTGAAATATCAATCAAACTGAACCTAAATTTGACATGAGCCATGCAGCTCGTATATAAAGCTAGGAAAAATAATATTGTAACTGCAACAGCCATCTTTCTCCTAGAAGTGGCCAAACCAGGAAACAGTGTTTCAAATAAACAGTGTTTCTAATAAACAGTGTGTCTAAATTTGATGGGAAGTAAATTTTGTTTTCGAAACAACGTTTGCAAGGATGGACAATGAGAGAATGATTTGCGGAAACATCGAATGTTTCAGATGGTTCAATATCGCTAGCTATGTTTTGGGAAGATTACCTATGTTTTACCTCAGAGGCAAGATTTTCAAGATTTCGTACGTGGTTTGAATGCATATAGGAAGCTTGTGGTCAAGTGTTTAATTATATTTTAATATTTTAGTGTGAAACCTAACGTGTACGTCACCTACCAGCCCAAACCTGACGTCAAACTGATCAAAACCAAAACAATTCATTCGTCTTGCTCTCCCGTTTGGGATCATGAGAAAATCGTTAAATTTAATAAAGCTATGATAAGCAAACAGGTATGTATCACTCCGTGGCAATAGAAACAATGGAAATAGTGTAATTAATATATAATTACATGTCCTATATAATTAGTCTATAATTTTACATGATTCAGGCAACTCGAATATGGAACCATCTCGTTGATGAACTTAATTTGAATACGGATAGTCTTTCGTCATTTACGTCGGCAATGTTTAAGTATTATATTTCTTCTTTGTACTCGTGTTACGATGTTGAGGATCCTCGTAGTTATAAAACTATATGTCCTAAGTGTAATTCTGTTCGTAGTCTCACAGAACTTAATTTGAATACGGATAGTCTTTCGTCATTTACGTCGGCAATGTTTAAGTATTATATTCTTCTTTGTACTCGTGTTACGATGTTGAGGATCCTCGTAGTTATAAAACTATATGTCCTAAGTGTAATTCTGTTCGTAGTCTCACAGCGTCATTATTGTGCTGTATGTAGGAACTGTTAGTACTGTTCTTTGTTGTTTAGTATGTGTATTGTTGTAATTTCTTTACTTGGGCCCGCAGTAATTGGCAATTACGCTGTTGCGGATTCCCTGCCACTGTATGTAAATATGTACAAGGCGAATTAAATAGATATATATATAGTAGGCTGTAGAGTTATACAGTATAATACAATCACAGTCGCGGGAACTGTGTGTATATAGTGTCACTGTATAATCATGCATAACACATTCTAATTTGAGATGAATTGATTGATACGTAACTGCATCGTTTTAACACAAGTGGGAAATACTTTCCCAAGTGTGTGATTCTTTTGATCAAACCCCTATACTATTATAATCTACATCTGTTAAATCATAAGTTGTTCGGTCTGATTGGCAGTGAGCGATGGGCTGTGCCAGTGTAGGTAGAGACGACAATACGCATGCGTGAGATACAACCACCTGAAAAACTAACTTCCCCACGAAGAGCTTTCTTTCGAAACGTTCTGTTCGTGTCAGGTAGTTGTCGCAATCCGCAGTCATTTCACAAACGCTAACGTCCTGCACTGTTTGTTTTTTCGTGTTTCCATTATTCATGAACCTCTTTCTTCAATTATAGATTCTAACTTTCAACGTTTGGCACAACCGAGAAGAATCTGGTACTGTACAAGACTATCCTTTTTTCCACCATGTTTAATATTTCCGAACACTGTCATCTGATCAGCAATGACAACATGTCACTCTCCTCCGCAGAGGCTCGTGTTATAAAAACTATACTAAACATTACATCTATGTATTAGATTTATTTATTACAGGTGGATCATTATATTATACACAGTAAATAAAATCGATCAGAAATGATCGAACAACGTCTGGTCGTCCAAAGCTTTCTTAAATAGGGTAGACATAAACAACTTTAAGCTTGACAATTTTCTCGCATGCAGAGGTGAAGAGTTCCATGCCTTACTACTATTAACAGTAAAAGAGCGTCCAATTTCAGTGGCGGAGGAAAGTACATGACATCATGTTGTTATTTGTTTGTACAGGCAAAGGTGGGAAGTCTGATGAAGATTTATTCCTGGGTGTGGCTTCAGTTGATTTGTCTCCTCTGGCCTCAGGTCTTAGACAAGTGATGGGATGGTATAATATTGTTGATTTTAGTGCGCGATGCCAAGGACAAATCAAGGTTGGTTTACACCAGATAATAACGAGCTTAAGCAAGCGACGTTTTTGTAAACACAGACATCAGATTGCAGAAGAGAGACTGGATTGAAAACTTAAGCAAGCGACGTGTTTGTAAACACAGACGTCAGATTGCAGAAGAGGGACTGGATTGAAAACTGTGTTTGTGTCAGTTTGTTGTAATCTTTAACACATATAATAAAACATAAGATTTGCGTCCTTACACGAGCGCTGTGATGAAAAATGCTGCTAAAATTCGTTATACCAAATGAATTTTCGTGTCTGTGTTGACAAGAAAGTCGCCTGCTTTAAGCTCTCTATTACCCAAACCTCGGATCCTTCCTCTCGCCCGAAATGCGACCACATTCCTACTCGTATTACTTTTAAACTTTCAAACTATTATTAGCTAATTTTAAAACAATGTCCCGCAGACCAATCAGATGTCACCATTTCTAAATTGTCTACTTCACAACGTTAAGAATGTAGTCGCATTCCAACCTCATTCCCAGGATCTTCCCTCTTGTGGAGGAAAGAGCCTGGGAACGAGGTTGGTCGCATTCCTGAATGTTATGACACGAAAACATAACACGTTTTTTGGGGGGGCGGGAGGAAGAATGCGCGGTTTTGGTAATATCTTTTCTTGTGCATTATATTTGTAAACCATTATTTTGGCAGGAAACCAAATTCGTCTGCATGAAATCATTTGTAAAAACTGTACAATGCTCCAGAGCAGACTTTAGAATATAATAGTTAATATTTCTAAGAATATAATAGTTAATATTTCTGAAAATATAATAGTTAATATTTCTAAGAATATAATAGTTAATATAAGAGGAAAAAGAAGAAATGCATTCATCATTAAATTTTAATAAGGCGTAAAAAAATACCTGTGGTTCCGGTTTCATATCGTGAAAAATTTAGGGTCGGTAGATCGGAAATAATTTTTTTTTTTAAATATTTCTTTCATGGTTTTGGCGGGTTTTTTTGCTGGGCGATTTGCAGTAGAGTCCCGACATCAATGTTAACTAGAGATGCGTATTTCCTATGGACGAATTTAGGCAATTTGGTTCAATAATTAGTGTGACAACAGACGCCATTTTGGCACGCTGTATGAGCAGCCCGCAACCACCTGGAGAAAATAGGGTCGCACGGTCAATTACGTTAAAAAATAATAGGGTCGGCAGAAAAAAATAGGGTCGGTCGGGAACCGGAACCACAGGTTTTTTTTACGCCTAACCGTATTAAAAGCAAACTTATTTTTAATATATTTATTAATTTAAGGTCGGTGTCGTGCCTTTGTTGTCTGTATCGCCGGAGAGAACCTTGTTTCCGCAAGTTAATTATGTAAGTTATCATATTCTTTTATTGATACTTTCTTGTCCACGAGTTCTAACTCACGTAATATATTCACTATTAACATTTGAAATTGCTTTTGTAAGATCTTCCGTTTATACCATGCGTGTATATAGTGCGTGTATTTCAGCCATTCGAGATTTACTTGACGTTGTTAAAAACATTTAAGATGTTTGAACTCTGTGTTTCTTGCAACGACTCGATGAGAATATTTCTTGTATTTCCAAATGACATTCAGGTTCAACTGCATTTTCACTTCATTTACTCACCATCTCCAACTCAGTGGTTTCAAAATAAGCCGTCGCATCCGACTGCAACTCTTCCATTTGCGACGGCTACTTTCTCTTTTGTAAGTAACTATAAATTCTAATTAAGTGTTTACAAAATGTTTTGTGAGCAAACAAGCGTGTATTTCCCCTGGAATTTCGTCGAAACATAGCCACAGTCGCAGATTGCTAGATTAGAAGCTTTGATACGTACGCGTCTCTTGTGTGTTGAGGATAGGCTCAGAGGTTTTCTTGGTAGCGGTTTCTAACCTGTTATACTTTATGTAAGATGTCACATTCATCTCCAAGAACAAAAACAAAGTGGCGGAAAAACGACAACGAAAGCCAGCGGAGATGTGGTCGCTATTGTTATTGGACGTTGTTGTTATAGGCATTAATTATAAGAATATAATTTTAACAGTGTTTTAGACATTTAAAATATGATTTTTTGTGTCTCAAAAACAAATGCTGGAAAATGCATCTTCTACAGTCTAGAAGTTCAAAATTTTCTGGAAGTAGCATCAGGAACTGCGAAACAGGGGCTGGGGGGGCTTTAGCCCCCCAATAATTTCCATATATGTGTGATTTTTATAAAATAAGAATACTGATTTCTTTCAGATCAGTTAACAATATAATTATAACTTATATAGCCAAGTATTCAATTTAATTCTGGTTGGATTAAACAAATGACGGGTAATATTAGATTAATTAAGAGTCATTTATTAAAATTAAGAAACTTTTTAACAGCAACTAGTGAATTTGGTTCCATTTCCGGGGCTCCGGGAGGTCTCAGATTTCAAAATTTCCCGGAATAACACGAATAACAGAGATTCCTGCAACCTCGTTCCCAGGCTCTTCCCTGGGAACGAGGTTGAGATTTCCACGCCTGGCATTTTTGCACGCGAAATTGCACATTAAAATGTGTCATTTTTTTTCGTTGCCGCGCGACAATTTTGGGAGCCTGGTAGCGAATTTGATAATTGAAAAATTCCTCAAATTCCACGAGCGCGTGCTTGTGCGCGTTTTCCTTGAGGGTTATTTAAGGTAAACAGGGAAACAGAGCGTGTCTCGGGGATCAAAATGATATCAAGATTACCATGGTTACGCGGAAT